CCGGAGCTGCCCCAGAGCTGGCTGCAGTTCAGTGTCAAGGGAGGGGACCTTGTTATACTCAACAGTGACTCACCCTAGAAGCAGCTGCAACAGCCCCAGGCCAAGGGTGTGTGTGCTTGTGTATGCATGCATGAGCGTTTTGTGCATACCTTACACTGGTAAGGAATGTATGGTGGGGGGGGTCTCTGTGTGTGTGTGTGTGTGTGAGTGTGAGGTGGGTGTTTGAGTCAGTCTGAGGCGTCTGTGTGTGTCAGGTGTGCACACATACATGCACACATCTCCCATCTCTCCCTCACTGTATGTGTGTGTATACATGTTAGTGTGAGGTGGGTGTCTGTGCTAGTGTGAGGGGTCTGTGTGAATGTGCACGTGTGTGTGTCAGCGTGAGGTGTATGTGTGCCTCTCATGAGGGGTGCTGTGTATGTGTGTGTGTCAGTGTGAAGCTTATTTGAGCATGTCAGGGGTGGGTGGGTGTGAAAGATAGGTGTATCTATAATGGGGGTCTACAAGGTGTGTGTGTGTGACAGGTGTATCTATCATGGGGTGTGAGAGAGAGGTGTGTGTGTCAAGGGAGCGTGTACAAGCTGTGCATATGTGCATGTCCATGAGGTAGAAGTGTGCACACGTCTGTGTCTGTCTGTGTGAGGTGGGGTGCAAGTGAAGGGGAGGGGTGTGCATGTGCGTGCACACATGCGTGTGCTTGGGTATGCACATGTGCGCACATGTGCACACGTGTCTCTCCCCTTACAGACTAACCTGGTCCTGATCCGGCAGCAAGTGGAGCTAGTGGAAGGTGAGAGGCACTGACACGTGTGTGCCACACACACGCACACACACACGCACACGGCGCGAGTCGGAGTCACTCACCCACGTGACGAAGGCCCTGGGGGTACAGGGCCCTGCTTGGTCGCTGTGGCAAAGTAGGGGTTGGGCTGAGGTGGCCATGATGGTTGTTGTCAGCAACAAGGCGGCCAGGATGCTGGTCACTGAGGCGGCCAGGACGGTCAGGATTGGTTGCCAAGGTGGCCACAACGGTGGTTGCTGGTTGCTGAGGCAGCCATGACAGTGGGCCATGGCAACAAGACTGCTGTGACAGTTCACCTCCATAACAATGGTGGAGGTTCCATGACAGTTGCCTCAGGCACCTGACAGGTGCCACCAGTAGAGGAGGTGACCATGACAGTTGCCACCGGTGACCCAGGAGGCCACGACAGTTGCCAGTGGTGACCAAGGCAGCCATGACAGTTGATACTAATGACTGAAGCAACCATTACTGTTGTCAATGGTGACCCCGGTGACCATGACAGTTGCCAATGGCCACAAGGGCAGCCATATTTGTTGCCACTGGTGACCTAGGCAGCTATGACTGTTGCCACTGGGCATCCTGATGGTAACTGCAGTTCTCTGCCCCCGACCCCCAGCCCTGTTGGGGTTTGAGACCCGGAACCGGTACACAGTGCAGTCAGGGGAGGGGCGCCCGC